TATATATGCGGTAGTCTTGTATATATAAACCGGTAAGAACTGACGGCAACAAGGTAATGTGTATTTGACAGTTGAGTCGAGTACGTGAGACGTTCGTTGTGAATTATAGCGTTTGTTATAGCGCGACTGTGGAAATTAAGTGTAGTGCAAAGTTGTATTTAGAAAGAATAAACCAGTTTTATTTAAGAAAGGACTTGTATCGCTAAAGTTTCTCCGGAAAGAAATTATATGGAAAATTAACTAACGACCGGAGGCGTAGCAATAGATTTGTTCATTGATGTACTTTCAGTAAGAAGTTAACTTAGATATTATTTGAGGCTCATAACGTGTGTAATAGATGACCACAGGTTTACTCCATGTTATTTATTTTTGCATATGAGGCTTGTTTTGTTTTAGCACAAAACTACACAATGGACTACCTGCGCTCTATCTACCATGGGGAATCAAACCCTGAATTTTAGTAAGTCGGTAAATTTACCGCTGTCTCACCGGGGGATCTTTTCGTATCTATAAGCTTTCGACTGTTATACTGTAGTTATTTTCAATGTATTTTCAAATCAGATGAGTAGAAACGAGTTGGGCAAATATAAGTAGGGATGTATCTTATTATTTAATAAAACAAGAGGGAATTTTCAATAACCGTGGTACTTGCAATTCTTTTAAGCAGGGTTAGAATAAATTAATCTATGAGACCATTTTTCCCCTTTGTATTAGCTATATTTCTGTGCGCCAGCAATACCAAGCATGAGGCACGCGTTTATCAGATTCGATTTTATTACTCATTAGGACCTCTACAAGCCTACCCTCAAATTGAAATTCTTTCAGGTAGGATTAGAGTAAATTAATATACGTGGCCTTGAGTGTGGTCAAATACATCAATCGAAAGGGTTTGGCATCCTTAGTCTAAAATTAGATCTCAAATCAGTCTAGAGATGACGGGGCTATGAGCTGAAAGTTTGTACTTGAAAAAAAAACAAAAGTAGAGCTGTTCTATAAGCCGTCGCGGCTAAAAACTTAGATCTATCGTATGAGCCGCTGTGTTGGTGTTAAAAATTAGTTTATCTCGCTACAGAAAATTTTTAGTGATAATTAAATAACAAACATTTTATTCAAATTATACCCTAGCGACTCATTTTACTTTTCATAAACCTCTTCTAAACCCACTCATATACAAAACGAGTGACCTATTTTACTTTTCAGAAAAGATATCTTCACGGAATGGTATTTAAAACGATATTTTTTTAATTAAGCTTATAATTGAAATTGTTTAAGCTGGGATATTTATGTATTGTTCTGATTTTAAGTTTCACTTTTGTGATTGAAATTTCTCAATGAAAAGAATATAACATTTTGTGGTAGGTAAGTTTTGTTTATGTCAAAGCTACTGTCACGTAGTTAGTATACTATAGTATAAATCAGTAACTTGTAAGTTCTGTATATATGTATTTGGCTGCAACTTGTGCTTTTGTAATTGTAGTTACAAAGTATAGACCTAGTTAAGTATTATACTTTAGTAGTAGTTAGTACTATACGTAACAGAATAGTGGAGCACTTTGTTAAGCTCATTTTTAAATATCTGGTATAACTGTTGATTATTATTATTAGATATTAGTAACATTAAGTGATTAACACTAGTATTCCTTCTGCTAAATTATTACGTTTAATTTTAAATGTTATTGAATGTTTGTGTTTGATTTCACTGGGTAATCATAGTTTAAAATTTTAATACTTTTATTGACACTGACAGCATATATATATATAAATTAATAACTCAAAAGAAGACTACTACTACTAGGATTTCAGGTATGGAACGTTGGAAGGGTCATCTTACAGAATAGGTTAAGATCTTTTATTTTTAACTTATTTTCTCTTGAGGAAAAGGAATAAGACATCTTATTCAACTTTCAAGTTATTGAAGTATACAATATTATCTGGGGAATCCACAGCATTAACATAAGGGTGCTGTTATTAACTGGCAACCTGCCCCCCCCTCCCAGTCTAGCACTAGCAGTTCAAAATAGGACAACTATGCATGAAAAATCTTAAACAAATTGAACTAAACCATTTTTATTTCAACCATTGTAACTGTCATTAACTTCTTATCAAAGTAAGATAACTAAAAATGAACCCTCTAAATAGTATTATTAACTTAATATACTGTTGTTACTTTTAAGTAATTGTGACTTATTTATAACTTCTAATATAAAAATGGCTGCTAGGGTGGGAATTGGGTAACATCTGTGTGCAAGTGATTATTGCTCAATTAGGTATGCTTTTTTACTGCAAATGGAGATAAGGAATGGTGAAATTTTGGTCAAAAATTTCAGTAAAGTAAGTTTCGAGTTTTTTGAGAAGAAGTTTTGTTGTGAATTGGGCAACTGAATTAATTAGAGCTTCTAATCAAATGTTGAACTTTTTTTTTTAAATTCTTAATACTCAAGATAGTCATGTTTCTTATAGAAACATGTGGCTCCAATTAAAACAAATATTGGTTCACAAAGGATATGAGGGATAAAATTAAAGAAAAATGTTATAAATTTAGGAAGTGTAAATTGACTGTTATGACCAGAGACTTTGAGGATTACAGAAAATCAAGAAAGTTGGTCAAACAAGAAATTAGGAAATCAAAAAGGGTATATCAAGAAAAGTTGGCCAACAATATAAAAATTAATAGTAAGGCTTTCTTTAAATACTTTAAGGATAAGCAAAATGTTAAGATGAGAGTAGGACCTTTGAGGGATGATGCAGGAAATCTCATACCTGTTGATTGAGATGGCTGAGTTAATATATTCTATGTTTCCTTACATTTTTACTAATGAAGATTTAGATTATATTCCTCATCCTGGATATTACAGTTGCTAGATGGAAACAAGATGATCACATTAATTTTGAGTTGTGAATAAAAAATTGGTAAGTTTAAAGAATGATAAAGCTCCTGGGTCATATGTTTCCCCAAGAGTTTTGAAGGAGGTTAAGGATTGGATATTTGTGCTACTTGCTACTATTTTTGTAATTTCCTTGAATACTGCACAGAAGATTGGAAGTTGCCTAATATTACTTTTTTTTTCAAAGGGAGGTTATAAAAAAAATTGTCAAACTACCTATTAGTCTTATCTCATTGATGGGAAAAGTTTTTGGAAGTCTGATAAAAGATGTTTGCTAATTCATTTAACAAAATTTTAAATTTTGTTAAATAGTCAGCATGGTTTTACTAGGAGAAAATCTTGCCTTACTAATCTTTTGACATTCTTTGAAGAAGTTACTGCTTGTGTTAGCACAGATTTGGTGTATTTAGATTTTAAGAAAGTATTTGACAAGGTATGGGTATAAGTTGGATGACTGGATAGAAAAGTAACTGGATGGAAGAAAGCAGAGGGTTATAAGTAGGATTTCACTAAAACTGGATTAATGTAACAAGTGGGGTACCTGAGAGTTCAGTGTTAGGACCATTGTTTTTTTTTATAAAGGAATGGTCAATTCATTACTTAAAGTTGTTGATGATATTAAGGTTTTTGGTGTCGTGCTGTGAGGAGGAGGATGTTACTTTACAAAAGGATTTGTATTATTGATGATTTTGGCAAGTAAATGGCAGATGACTTCTAATTATAATAAATGCAAGGTAATGCATATGGGATATCATAATATCTATGATAAGTATAATTTTGATTGGAATAGGCTTAACAGTGTTAGAGAAGAAAAGGATCTTGGTGTTTTGGTTGATCGTTTTCTGAAGCCATCCAAGTAGAGTGATGTTGCTAATGGCAGCACAAACAGGATTTTAGGTTGCATTGACAGAAACATTGAATACAAATTTAAAGAAACTATAATTTCATTGTATAGATCACTAGTTAGGCCACATTTGGAGTACTATGTTGTGTTCAGTTTTTTGGGCTCATTTTACCTCTGAAAGGACATTGAATTGTTGGAAAAGGCTAAGAAGAATACTACTAGGATGATACCTGGTATAGAAAGTTGTCATATGAGGACAAGATAAGCTCTCTGAAGTTGTTTTCTGCTGAAAGAAAGAAGTCAGTAGAGGGATCTGATTGAAATGTTTGAGAGAATTGGTGTATTTTGTTTTTCATACCTAATGGTGAGAGTGATAGGACTAGGAAACATAAATATAAATTTTGGCAAAATAGGAGTCATAAGACAGTTTTATATTTCTAACAAGGTTTTTGGCTTTTGAAATAGGTTCCCTTTAAATGTGGTGGATGCAGTAAAATTTAGGGAAGGCTTAATAAATATTTAAATGATAATGGCTGGTTTAGATAAAAGAACAAGTCCCTTGTCCTTGAATTTGATTTAGTGTTATGTTATTAGAGTGCATGGATCTGTAATTTGTGTACCCTTTCTGTCAGTGATATTTTTGGTTGTATCTTAGTAATATCTCGTAAGGTTTGGCTGGCTAAGAAGGTTTAGGTTAGTCCTAAATCCCTATAATAAGCCAATAGTGCAGAATAATCCTAATAATAAATATATAATAAACAATAGTAAATAAATATCTTAGTCAGTATAACCATAAAACATACCTTACTAACAAAATCCTTAAAAATGAGTTGTTTGCTTCATACCCTGTGATTTCTTTGTACATTCTTCCATTACAACATCTAGTAACCAACTAAAGCCTGTTAAATGGCTCTGACAGTGTAACTGGAGATTAGCTTTACATTTGAGTTAAATTAGTATGACACATTACTTTTTAACTATAGAACTGGATAGTGGGAGGATATAGGTTGTACAGCAGAAAACTGATGTTTATGATAAGAAATAATAAATGAATAACACAATTTTGCAGCAAATAGTAAAAATTCAGTACATTAATTACATAAGTTAATTATAATCAGAAAGTAAAGAACTTGTGTCGCTTAAGTTTCGTCGGAACGAAGTTACGGAAAATCAATTAACAAACGGAGACGTAACAATACTTAATAAAACTGGTTTATTCTTTCCGAATACAACTTTACCGATACACTCAACTTCAACAATCGCGCTAAACAAACGCTGTAACGTCTCTCGTGCTCTCTCACTGCAGTTCAATTACTCACTGTCTATACACACATTACCTTCTTTTTTCCTCTCGCGTCACGTTGTCTCCTCTTATATATACCCGCCTACCCTATCTAGTAAATACTAGAGCATTCGCCAAAGTACATGATAGTTCTAGAAACGTTGCGTCACTGTGATCATGTGACTCGCTGACGCAACAATATTTTCACCTGTAATCGTGAATTTTACAGTATACAGCTATTTTCTATATATTTTATTTAAATATTTGGTATGAATGTGCTTCGTTTACTAATACTGATATTAAAGCTAGATCTCTAATAATACACATAACTATTATACCACATAAAGAGCATAAAAAAATAATAGTTGATAAAATTGTGAATAAGCTCTAAGTATTTTTAAACATTGCCTAAGTACGATTTTATTGGACTAGATATATATATATATATTGGAAAAATTTACAGTAGCTGTTGTTGAAATATAAAATACAATTCCAATCATCCAAACAAACGAAGTACCCTGCATAACTTAGATTATTAGTTCTATATTAACGTGTGTTTGAAAAAAAAAGCAATGAAAATCAAAGATCGCACCTGAGGAGATGCTGTGTGCGTGTTACGAAAAGGGGAAATACGTTATTCACAGAAAAATATAAAAGATTTCAACAAATGACTTCACCTCACGTTACATACTAACTAAAAGGCTGGTGTATCTCTGAAAAATTTTAATGTAAAATAGTTAGAGGAGATAAATTTAAGATGAAACTCCATTAGCAAAAGGGAAAAGACTTAGCTCACAGTAATCTTTCCCGATCAGGAATTAAGGTCAATTCAAAATATGGTCTGGTGGTTATGACACTCGACTTACAATCTGCAGAGTTGGAATCACGTCACCAAACCTACTCGCCTTTTCAGCCATCAAGTGAGGGTGGGAGTTATAATTTCACTCCAATCTCATTTTTTGTTAGTAAAAGAAAAGACCAAGAGTTTGCGGAGGTGATGTTAACTAACTGCATTCCTATATCCCATCAGTTCAAAATTAAGGATGATTAGTGCAGAGAGCAAACATAAAAAAAAAAATTGCCTCTAGTGAGCAAAGGTGAAAGTTTCCTTGTATACATAAAATGAAGACACAAATCTATTTATTGAAAGATTTGTTGTTAAACCATAAGCTGCACAATGTGTTGTACTCACAGGCGTTGAAACCTAAGCTACACGAGGGCTATCTACGCTAGCCGTTCCTAATTTAGCAGTGTAAGACTAGAGAGAAGGCAGCTAGTCATCACCACCCTCCGCCAACTCTTGGGCTACT